ATGAAAACCTACAATGTGATTCAGAACCATTCAGATCATACACTATTGGCTATCTCAAATTCTAAGAATAGAAATAGCTACCTCCATTATAAACTGAAAATATTACTCTTTGGTTGTAAGTCTTTCAGACTTCTAAAATTAAATATCCTAGGCGGAAGGCGTTCATTCTATCAGTGTCAGACCTCAGGTTTCAAGATTAAAGTTAGGTGATACTGAGCCATAAGACTTCATAAAGGAACAGACAAGCCTTTATTCATTCTGACTCACCTGTATTATGGAAATGCTAGTGCCTTTAATTATAATCATACCCACTAAGTCTTTTCGCAGCACAAAACAGAGCTTCTGTTCTTAAGACGTTATGACCTAAATACTTTTAAGGGGGGAAAACCAGCTGGAGTGATACACAGACATACATGCAGGTGAAATACCTATTCACACAAAATAAACAAGAATAAACAAGTCTCAAAAAGAAAAAACAAGCACCATAGAGAATATTTAGTAACTATAATCTAAACAAACAAACAAACAAAACAAAGCAAAACAAACCTCAGAGGACCATAAAATTAGTGCCTATTTAAAGCACTAGATAACGATTGGGCTATCTAACTCTTACTCAGGATTGTTAATATTTTGAACATCCATTCCATATATACCTATAACAAATTTAGGCAATGATCCCCTTATATGATGATAAAGCAGATCAAGACTTGCCCAGATTTCATGCTCTAAATGACACATTTAGACACATTTGTCTTCTACCAACAAGCCCTATTATGTCTGCATCGGGAACCTACTATCAAGTCCCATTGAAGTCGTCTTCCTTGCCCAGCAGGGAGAACCTGGTGCACAAAGCCAACCTCTGAGGTAAGCAGGACCAGTAAACAATAGGTTGTTTATAAAAAAGCTTCATTAGTTCAAAGTATCAACAGTTCTCAATATAAACCTTCAAATTTCTCCTTACATAAAGTTCAGAAACTTTTCCAAAATTTAAACTATTGGTAAGAAGAAATACTGCGTCTTTCCAGTAGGGTCTCAGTCATCAGAAATGGACCCTACCACCTAGTTTGCCTCCAATGAATTACACCAAAAAGCTTGAATTAACTACATTGCAGGTTCAAAAGACTGAAAGTGTGAAATATATGCAACTCATCTCAAAATGGTACCATTTTGACTTCAGAACTTTATTTTAAGGCTATATAAGGCCAGATTAGGAAAGTGTTACATACCTGGGTGATTTGTCAAGGACTTTCAATGAGAAAGAAAAAAGTTACGGGCAAAGAAAGCTTTCCGTTTTGTATTTGTTATAACCATTAGCTAGTAATGTAACCATTCAGTCTTATCTCTACACGAATCATACTGTTATTGCAATTTCTAGACCTGTGGTAACAAAATATATTTATTAAAAAATAAAGTTTAGTAAATTTTTATTGCAACCACAGGTACTTAGGGAAACTAAGGCATGGGTCACTTTAGAAAGCAGTATGTGAGAACAGTATTACTACAGCACCACAGGCTGGGACACCATGACTGATCATGGCTTCTTTTGGGTGTGCTTTCACTTTTTAAATTCTGTCCACTCAGATGAAATGAGGGAGGATGACAACTGACTGTTTACCACAAACATAACATCCTAAGAGATTCTCAGAGTGACACATTAAATGTTAAAATTCTGAACACCCTTTCCAAGGTCACAGTGGTACGCATCCCCTTTCAACACAGTAGTAACCCTGCCATCACCGGTGACAGCTTACAGCTTCTTCCAATCCCCTTCCCGTTTCACAGAAGCCAATTACAGCACTGTATAACTAGTGACTCAGTATGAAACAAATTCTCTCCAATACTCCTAATGGAATCAATCCTCTATAAACATCACAAAATACATTATCAACCTGGATGGCAGAGTTCCATGGCCTAAAAAGGTGTAACAGCTCATATCTCGGTCATGGCTGCACGGCCAGAAAAATGAGCATCATGGTGGGTTCCTGCATTCTTCACATTGTGCTCATGAACAAAGTCAGTGTAGTTTCTATGTGCAGTCTGGGGTGGGGGCAAGGCCCTTGTGCTCCACTGGTTTCCACCACGCTGACAGCAGTCACTGGTAGCAGACAGCCTAGACGGTTGAGGAGTGGGAGTACAGTTAGTCAACAGAACAGAACATGGATGTGGAACGGAGAAAGGCCATGTGACCAGCATGCACCACTATGGTGAGCAGTTAACATGCAACACTAACATTCAAGAATAGCAGAAGGGGAAATCCACACAGTTACGTGGTTCGTGTAATGGAAAGCACCAATACAAAAACACATGTAACTAGAATCAGTTAAGTGAATTAATTAGTGAAGGAAAGTCAAAGAGGGCAAAACATTCTGTTATCTGTCCCTGCTGTTGCTGGGACACTCTAACGTAGAAATGTTTGGAATTCTAGTGGGACAAAAATTCTAAGTGAGTTTTATTCAAATATTAGAAAGAATTCTACAGAAAGGCAAGGGCATATATGGAAAGGGCAATTATAAAAATAGTCTCCAAATTTATACGAGTATAATCCAGGAAATAAACTTCAGGAGCATTAAAAAAAACCCTTCCCTTAGACATTGAGCAAGTTTCTATCAGTGCTCCAAATGAACAATTATTGTCCTTTCTGTAATCAAAGTTCACAGGAGCACAAGCCGAAAGCAGCAGGCACAGATGAGCGCAGGAAGTGCCACAAGCACAGGGGACTTAGATGCAGTCTGGGGAGTCACAAGAGTCAGTCCTCCAGTAGAGAGAAAACACCTGCCACACTCTCCAGATGTGCAACGGGAGCACATCCTTCACACGACCAACACCGGAAAAGGGGTATTCCAAATACAAAAGGCAACTAAAATCTAGATTTTTTTTTAAAAAAAAGTATTATTTTTCAAATTCTATAAAATATTAACTTAATTTTAAATCTTTTTCCTTGGGAAAACTAAAAAGGAAATTTTCAAAATAAACATGGAAGGTGTGTTATTTGCTTTTAACTATTAATATAATTTTATTTCCTTCTACTGAAATTCAACTAGCTCATCAGACATAATAAATAAACTTCATGACCCCTTGATGTAGAAATTAAATTTGGCTTGTGTTCTGGTTTACAGATGCCAGATTTCCTAAGTTCTATACATTTTTGTTTTTCGATAGGGTTGGGTCTTATCACACTGCCCAGGCTGGCCTGGAATCATGATGTACCTGCACCCTCTTCTCAAACACCAGGATTAGGACACGCTTTATTTTGTTTTGAGATAAGGTTACTTTGCTGCTAGGCTGGACTCAAATCCCAGGACTCAACAAAGCCTCTAGTCTTGCAAGCAGTGTCATTGGGCTTTTTGTTAATAAACAATTCGTGTATTCAAGTGATATGAAATATCTTAACAAACCCTAAGTTACTGACATATTAAATCATTCACCTAGCTATGGTTTCATTTAAGATACAAGGGGGGAAAATCTGAAGACCTGAACAGGAAATAGGCTTAAATTAAACTGGCCCTGAACTATCTGCTAGAAGAAAGATGTTCCACATGCTGTCCTGTCACCCAGTCACTTTCCAGACTTTGTGACCTCTTTCTAAAGGAGGACTGCTTTATGGCCCCTGAAATCTAAGCATGCAGACACAAAGAATGGGAGGCAGGATGCACTTTACAGAAGCCTGGAGAGTCACTAGCTATAAGACACGCCAGTGGGTGTCAGTTCCGTGCCCTGCTGATGTACTCTGAGGCTCATCAGGTTTTCAGGGTCATCTCCATTTCAGCAAAGGAACTGTCAGCACAATCACAGAGAGGAAGAGGGCACATGGCTGCAAGTTTTTCATTTTTCTTGAAACTGAAATCCAATATTCTCTCTAAAGGCTACACTAAAGGAACTGGTAATATCCAACAAATCAAATTAAGCAGACTTAAATATGTACTAATTAAAATGGAATTCAATAAAGACCTAGCATCATAGCACAGGAAGTAAACTAATCAGATTCTCGCTTGGTATTAAAGAAAGACATGCATATATTAAGACAGTTGAAGTCTGGATACTCTCTGTGTGTGACATCGGCCTCAGTGGCACATTAAAGAGATGGATTATAACTGCCTGTTGGGCTGCTATCTTCAGCAAGAAACCGAAACTTATAATATCTTAAAGAATAAAATTGTTCATCTGGAGCCCTTGTTTGTTACTTTTGGTATGCACATATGTATACAATTCTAAATACCCTATATCATATTCCCTGTATCATACCTATATATATGGAGAAAGCAAGGGAGAATATCCTCCTTAATTTTACTGCAAATTATCTGGAACTGAAATAAAACATACCCAACCATCACAGGCAAAGCGCCCTGTCGTTAGTTAAGCCAATGATACCAGTTGAAAGAGTACACAGCACAGACAGAGATAGTCACCAACCACTGCTGACCCACCACCATGAAGGAAGAGCTGGCTGCACAGAAAGCCGACCCAAACCTCGAGATCACCACAGAAACTCATTAGGTTTCAGGTATTAACAAACTAAGAGCAAGAGAAAAAGAGAAAAATCTCATGAATCATCTAAGTGCATTCAATAAATAGACACAAAGCTTGAACAGACGATATATCCACAGTACCACTCAGCCCAAATCATTTCCAAGGAGCCCTCCCCCAAGCCACAGCTTTCTAGAAAGGCACACACTGAACTGGTAAAACCCAACAAGCCACAAAGTATTCATATCTGTGTGCTTACATTTTATAAGAATAGCTTTACCTCTAGCTCCCCAAACTGGAATGGTTTTCTTTCTTCTTCTTTAGACTCTGACCTAGATCACATTAGTGAAAGTCGTCCCCCCTTCTGCACCCGAGCCCTTACGCTCACCATCCCTCTGCCTGCTCAGTCTGTTCCTTTTCAGCTCACAAATATGAATAATTGGTTTTCAATCATATTTAAAGTGCTTCAAGATTATAGATTAAAAGTTTAGAATACAATTATGCAAGCAATATTTTGGTTTAGGAAGTTAACAAACCATTTCCTGTCGTGTTGGTTTGCTGCAGAATTCTGCGGAAGATTCTCTATTTCCACCAGCACAGGACCAGAGGTTGAGGAAGGGAGAACAGGCACAGGAGACCTCACACCCCAAGCCTTGGTGGAAAAATGATAAAATGCATTTGTTTTGCATATATGTATGGTCAAAATCTAACAAATACAAATATTAACACCAAGAAATACAACATTAAAATGGAGTGCCATATATATAGTACATAAATGTAATGTAATCAAATGTTTAATTTTAATACACTAATTTTAGGTAATAAATGAACATTAACAATGTACTGATACTCCACATTTACAGACAGAAAATGTTTTACAAATCATCTGCTTTACTCACAGTATCTTAGTAAAACATGGACAATTGTTGGGGGTAAGAAATGCATAAAAGTTGTAAAATATCACACACTACAAAAATCCAATTAACTATGTGCTCTGGTGTTTTAGAAACTTACTATTGTCTTACCTGTTGGGAGTCATTATTCTGGGCTGAAGTATTATGAACACTATAATGAAAGAAAAAAACCTATTAAAAACCCTATATAAAAGAATTGAGGGAAGAAAGGGAGAGACCAATGTAATTAAAATACAATCTTAAAAAAAAACCTAACCAAACAAACATAATTAAAGACCCAAATAGAACAGAACTGATTACAAATTGTTTCCTTAAAATGTATGTAAAGGGGCTGGAGAGATGGCTCAGTGGTTGGGAACACTGGCTGTTCTTCCAGAGGACATAGGTTCAATCCAAGTACCCACGTGACAGCTCACAACTGTCTATAACTCCAGTTCCAGGGGATCTAACACACTCACACCAATGCGCATAAAATAAAATTTTAAAAAGTATGTAAAATAAATTCAACAAAGTCACACACATCTAACTGGCATGCTGAAGTTTGAAATAGTTTGCATAGTTTGAAATCTTTCCATGGAACCAACATCAGTAACATCTTGTATTTATAAGTTCACCATGTAAATACATATCTTAGATGTCTTCAAGGTATTAATCCATGCTTTGAAATTAAATCACTATATCACTGAGAAAATGAAATCCAAGCGCATAATTATGGAGTCATTTGGTAAGTCTGACATAGGTGTACACACATATATAAAGTTTACCTGTAATTTTACATTCTTTTATTTTAATGTTATGTATGTATAACTATAATTTTCCTTTTATCACTAATAAAATACAGCATTACAGAGTTAAAATACCCTACATATAAAATTCTACGTTATTATTCTTTCTTTCTTTTTTTTTTTTTTTGAGACAAGGTCTCATTACATAGTCCTGGCTGATCTGAAACTTGCTCTGTAGACCAGGCTGGCCTCAAACTCAGATCTATCTGCCGCTGCCTTTGTGACACATGCCCAGAGGCTTTACTTTCTAAGATTATACATCCGCTACTCAAAGCAGCACTAATGACGTTTATGCTTTGTTTCTAGTGAAACTGTTGTGATGGTTCCTTAAGCTACACCTGCCATAGTCACTACCAGACACCTGTGTTTCAATGGCTATTTGTATTTTCCATATACACACATTTTGACTGTGCCTGACATTACCAGCAATCTTCAATACACGCCTATCGGGTGCCTTGAGCATTCCCATCCTAGTATCATTTATAGTTGGAACCTTCAAATTTCTCTCTTCCAGATCTCCATAAAGAGATTTAAAAAGTCTATATAACCTAACTCAGTCATTTTCAATCTTCCTAATGCTGTGACCCTTTAATACAGTTCCTCATGTTGTGGTGACCACCCCCACAACTATAAAATTATTTTGTTGTTATTTCATAACTGTAATTTTGCTGTTATAAATCATAAGGTAAATTATCTGATACACAGGATGTGTGACCCCTGTTAAAGGGTCTTCTGACCCCCAAAGGGGTCGTGACCCACGGGCTGAGACCTAACTTGTCTTCCTTCCCCTTATTTGACATTTTACAGTTTTTTTGGGGTGGGGAGGGGATGCTCAAGACAGGACTTTTTTCTGTAGCCTTGGAAGTCCTGGAACTTGCTCTGTAGACCTGGCTGTCCTAGAACTCACAGAGATCCGCCTACTTCTGCTTCCCAAGTACTGGGATTAAAGGCGTGTGCTTTTTTTAATTTTTGAAATTAATAATTCTATATTCTATTTTCACTTACAACTTGTACTCAAAGTAGTCAGTTTTATATAATTTACACAGAATTGTTCTAGTTAGCACGGATAATACCGTAACAGGACTTAAGCTTCATCAGAAACATTAAACATTTGCAAAACATCCTTTATTTAAGATAACAAGTATTTTAAAAGTTTTTTTTTTTTTTTAAACATTTACTTTGTACGTGTTCTGAGGTCAGGACAACTGGCCACAGTTATCTCCTTCCAGCATACGGGACCTGAGAACTGCACCCAGGACATCGGGCTCTGGGGCAGATGCCTTTATCTTGCCCTCCACCATTTAAAACAAAGAAAACAATTCATTCTATTTTTATTTCTGTATGGGTATCCATGTGTACACCTGGATAGGGAACCTGAAGATCCCACGGGGCTGGAGTTGTAGGCAGTTGTGAGCTGCCCAATCTGGGAACTGGGAATCAAAATTGGGTCCTCTGAAGAACAGCCAGCATTCTTAACCACTGAATCTCAATTATTACTTTACTTTATTATTGCCTATTAAGGGTTCTGGATTTCCAAGAGACCCAAATTTGATTCCCAGCTCCCTCTTCCCTTTTTTCTAAGGAGTAGTGTTTGCTCTTCCCAGACTGCAGGATCCTGGTGAAAGTGACTTCCTGGTCTACACATTAAATCCCTTCAAGCCTACCTGGAGCAGAAGTTAGCCTCAATGAGTCTACGGTTCCTTTGTTACTTTCAAACATTTCTTTCAGCTAGGAATAACTTCAGTAACAACAAGAACAAAAAAATTCAAACAATTTAAATTTGAGAAAAACATCTTTCATAATAAGCCATATTAACTAAATCAAAACTACCTATTTAGATTATATGAAATGTAAAAAACATTATTTTTCTTATAATTTCTTAATAATTAAAAAGTAGGGATTGGGATGTAGTTCACTGGTAGAATGCTTATCTAGCATCCAGGAGGTCCTGAGTTTGATGTTTAGTACCAAAAACAGAAACAAAGCATCATTAATGAAGAGACAACTGAGGTTAATTCAAGACACTTGATGAAGGGAACTGTGTCCACACAAGATATCCCAAGACCAAGTTCTCAGCACTAAAGAGATCTATTTGCCCCCAGAGGGAAAAAGGACAGGGAATAAGTGACAAAGACAGGAGATAGAGAAAGGGAAAGGAACAAGGGGGGGAGGAAGGGACACTTGTCGCAGGTGTGGACAGACACGACAAGGACACGATGACACAGGACTGCCTCTAGATACAGGGACACAGACGTGGCCCACAGGGAAATGCTGGTTTATAAAGCAGAAGGGTGATACGATGAGGTGTTTAATTTTAACTGGGCATGTTAGTTAGTGTAGCCAAAGGGGCTTCTGATTGCTGGATTTTAATACTTTGATAGCTGGACCTTGGTAGTCAGCCTCAGAAAGAGGATGGCACCAAATAGGGGACAGACCTTATGGCTAGCTTCAAGAATGTAATCTATAAGTTTTTAGCAAGGCAGAGGGAATTGGGGAGAAGGGCAAGGCCATGTTTGCCATGTTCTGGCTGGCTAGACTTCATTTCACCTGAATTGTGAAATATATATTCAGAGCATCTTAGAGAAGGGCTTTGTAAAGGACCACAAGAAGTAACTGCCCCTTTTGCTCATATACAGCCTCCACTTAATTTTCACCCTCCGTCCAGGTACAACAGCATCTGCCTACAGTCCCACTGCTCAGTGAGAAGGAAGCTCAAGGAGGAGAGTCTCTTGAGTTCAGATCATGGGGCTAGCTTGTGCAGCATACCAAGGCCTCTTCATTTAGAAAAAGAACACAGTATTAGTAACCATGATCAACTATCCTTGAAAATACTACCCTTTCTTAAGGGTACTAAGTTTGTACTTTTAGTTCAAATTCACCAGGAGAGACTGACACCAGCAATTTACAAACATGCTATTCAAACTGGTACATTTTATGAAGCAGCAAAGAAAAAGGTCGAGAAATGTTTCAGGTCAAATAGTTAGACTATAAAAAAAGGCACTGTTCTCCATGGTTCACTGAAGCAAAACCATTCATGAAACAGAACGGCAAGGTCAAGAGCGAAGGGCATGCATGCCAGTCCAAACTCAGGTGTCCTGACACTGTATGAAAGAGAGGTGCCTAGTAACCTTCAGGGGGGAAATGAAGCTGTCTCTTCATTTAACTTCTGAAAGCCTACTATATATATATATATATATGTAAACACACACTTTAAGATTTATTAGGATTTATTTATGTGTAGGTGTCTGTGTGTAAGTAATACATGTAAGTGTATGTATCTTTGCAGACCAACTCAGATTATTTGGAGCTGTGAGCCTTTTATAACTTTTGGGATTATAATTATAATCACTTCTCCCTTATCTTTCCTCCCTCCCAAGGGTCATCATTTCTTTCTTTTCTTTTAATAATTTTTTATTTTAAATTTTTTATTCATTTTATATAACAACCACAGTTCCCCTTCCCTCCCCTCCTTCTTGTTCCCATACCTCCCCCAAATCACCCCCCAACCACTCCTCCGAAAAGGTAAGGCCTTCCATGGGGAGTCAACAGAGTCTAGCACATTAAGTTGAGGCAGGACCAAGTCCCTCCCTCTGCATCAAGGTTGAGCAAAGATCCCACAATAAGGAATGGGGTACAAAAAGCCAGCTCATGCATCAGAGATGGATCCTGAAGGGGCCATCATTTCTTAAGTAGCCTATTTCTGTTCTCTTCTAAAGTCAAAAGCATCACTAACGAAGAGACAGTGACATACATCCATAAAAGTGAAATTAACTCCAATTCTAGAAAAGAGACCATGTTTAGTATACTCACTATGCTCTGATTAAAAATCTGAATTTCAAAACACCTTAGAGAAGGGATTTTAACTTTACAAATAAAAACTTAATTGTTCCCCATCATGTCTCTGCTTAAATACTTTTTCTAGTTCTACTACTTTCATGATGCATCTTTAGGGTGAAATGTCATGTCCTAGTCTGTTTCAAGAGCAAGACACGATCAACAAACAACAAACACTATTTAAAAAACACGAAGAGCTAATATTCCTTCCCAATTTCCTTGCAAGTACAGCTTCTAAGCAATTAGAAAGAAAAACAAACAACCCAAAGCAGATAGCCCAGAGAGGCACAAAATTTCCTTTTTAATCTGAAGCTTTATAGCAGAAACCCCTGGCTCCCCATAACTCCATATTCATATTAGTCTCAACAGCATCGAGAGTACCTGTTCTAAGTGAAGAAAACTGTATGGAAAACTCACTGCCACTGTCAGCAGGAGTGCAACCCCTAGAGCCCACACGGTGCAGCACTCACCTCCACATGATACTGTGGGTCATGCATAACTACACATTAAACACACACTGCTACAAACTTAAACACACTAAATAAAAAGATAAATAAATGTAATAAAAATTTCTTTTAAGGTATGGTTGACTACTCAGTATCTGAAAATAACAAACCTCTTTTGAAGAATTTCAAATTCAGACAGATACCCACCCACACCCCACACAAGGGTTATGTTTGCTGATTTTATTACAACAGTTATTATATTTGTATAATATATAAAAATTTGTAACACATAGAATTACAATATAATTTATAAATTATAAAGTATGGTAATAGGCATTATAATAATTATTATGTGTCTTTTTGGAGACAAGGTCTTGCAAGAGTAGACCAGGCTGTCCTCAGACTCATCCACATCCAGATCCAGGACTCTGCCTCCCAAAGCTGGGATTAAAGCTGTGTATGCTTTGAATCTGATTGTTTAGTAAGCATTCTGGGAGACATCAATATACAGTTGTTTTTGAAAAGCATTATAACATATACTACTGAAATTAATGGAGCCATTATAATCATGTCTTTTAAAGGAACAATTAAAATGACTGAAATAATAATCAATATACTTTCTAACAAAAATAGATTTACAATATTCACACATATGGGGAAATTAAGCAATATATTCCTAAATAACTAACAGTTATAAGGAGAAATCGTGGATTAGAAAACAATATGGGATGAACCAAAAAAAGGCAAACGCAACATACCAAGAGTTACAGAATGCAATTAAATAGTGCTCGGGGGAACGTGACAGTTGGCCGCTTACGCCAGCTGTGGTAGTTCAAGCCAGTCCAGCAGTGTAGAAGGGCTGAAGCCCCAGGATCAGACTTCACATTTAGTCAGGGTACACAGCAAGCTGGAGATCAGTCTGCGTCTTATGAGACCCTGTCTCAAAAACTTGAAAAATAAACAAAGGTCTCAAACGACCGAACCCCACCTTAAGATCATACAAAGAGAACAAGAAGTTGGGTGTGGTGGTGTGGTCTTCTAAAGGTCGGCACTTAGAAGGTCAGGCAGAAAGACCACAAGTTTAAGGCTAATGTGGGGCGTCTAAAGAGCTTGTTTCAAACAACTAAGAAACAGGCTAGGCCTGGTAGGCAAGCAGTGAGTTCCAGGTCAGCCAGGGCTGAAAAATGAGACTCTGTCTCAAAAACAAACAGAAAACAAGAAAACCAAGAAGCATTCGGGGATGTAGCTCCGTGGTGGAGCACTTGTGTAGCTAGCATCCACTAGGTCCTGGGTAACAAAAAACAAAAAACAAACAAACAAAAAAAAAAACCAAGAAGGAAGGCAGGAAGAAGAGGAAGAAGTAGCCAGAGCAAACTAAATCTTAAGTAAGAAGGAACAAATAATAGAGCAAGAATTAACAAAAGGCTAACAAACTAACAAATACTCAGCTGGACTGACAAGAAAAAAGCGAGAAATCAGTTAGAAAGAATCAGGTACGGCATAATTGTCTTACAGAAACAAGACTAGAAAACTACAAACTACATTCCTAGGAATTAAGATAGGTTAAAAGAAATGTATCTACAAAAGGTGATTGAATTAATAATTTAAAAATCGGCCTAGAGATAATCCAAGTTAGATGGCTTTAGTAAATACTATCACAGTGTTAAGAAATTCATATCAATTCCTTACAAAAACCTCAAAAAATAGGAGAGAAAGGATTATTTACAAACTTATTCTGTGAGGTCATGAATTGCTCTCATATCAAACTGGATAAAGCGTCTAAGAAAAGCACAGACCAATACCTCTGATGAATATAGACACACAGATCAATAAATACTAGGAAGCCAGATCCAGTAACATGGTTGCATGAACTATATACCATGACTGAGTGTAATCCCATCTAGAATAAAATGGCTTACCTGCAAACCCACCTTTCTTCTTTGATGTTATCAATATGAATAACATTCTACTTCTGTAAACAGCTTAATTTTTCTGAATGTCAATTTTATCTGATGTTTCTTTGTTCCCTATTATCCTCCCAATACCTATGAAACTCTGACATTCGGCAAGACCTTCAACAAATATTTGTTTAATTAATGATAGCAACTATATAAATTATATGAATATGTAAATTGTCTCAGTTCCTACATTGCAAGGCATTACTCACCCAAGATCTTCAGGTTTTGTTGTGCTTGCTGACAAGAGAAAAGATAACATCTTATTAGTCCACCCTGCATGACAAATTGCTGTACTATTCAAAGTAAAACCGTGACTAACTGTGAAAACACACATAAGCCATGCTGCAGGTCAGACCAGTATCGCCAGCAACAGCCTCTTGTATTTTTCAAAAAAACGCTGCACATATTTTCTTTTGTTATGTGGACCAGAGTGTGTCTGTGCGTGGCTATGTGCACAAGAGCACAGGTCCCCCTGGAGCTCAGAAGAGAGCATCAGAACCCTTTGTGTTGAAGTTACGGGTGCCATTTGAGCCACTTGGGTCCAAATTTGGGTCCTTTGCAAGGGCAGCACACTCTCTTAACTGCTGAGCCACCTCTCCAGGATCGCCCTTTGGGCCTGATGATTCAGTCAGGTGAAAGGTCTCTTAAGTGGCTGGCTGCACTGCTTCTCTGATCTCTCAGCTTTCATCCCCTAATGTCTGACTCTGGGACTTATTTATTAAGACCAATTAGAATTCACATTACAGAGTTGAAGTATCTTAAGTGGCAGATGATATTTATGAATTTGTAAATATCTATGTATGACAGACATTGATAATTTAACAGTAATTACAGTATTGAACAATATCATCCACTCATTTTTATATTGTTTTACCGTGTGTCTCTGTGCGGGGTGTGTGTGTGTGTAGGTCAGCGAATAACTTTGTGGAGTCTGTTTTTTTTCCCATTATGTAGATCCTAGGGACTAAATTTAGGTTAATCAGATTTGACAGCACTAAAACATTTACAAAGTGACTTTATCTCACCAGTCTAATATGGAATAATTTTCACTGAAAAATTCTTTGGGGCTAGAGAGATGATTCAGAAGTTAAGAGTACTTGCTGCTCTTCCAAAGGACCTGGTTCAAGTCTCAGCATCTACATGGCAGCTCACAACTGCCTGCAACTCCAGTTCCAGAACACTGGCAAGGTTCATAAAACAGCATGCATGCACACATGCATAGACAACCCCCCAAATAAAAAATTTAATATATTCTTTACATGCTAAAATTAAAAAACCATTTAAGGGGATGAAGTGGCATTTCATCATGAGATTTGAAAGACAAGAGAGAAAATACTGCTTTAATGCAAACAAAAATATCGCTGAGAACATCAACGGAACTGAGCTTACTATTAAGATTAATCTCAGTTAATTATAGAAGTCATTATAATGTAGCTTATGAAGCTCATACAAGAACAGTTTTAATTAATTAAAAAGACTTAAGAAGACTCAAGCAGCCTCCTCTCCAGCAAACAAGGAGTGCTAGCACATGAAGACTGGCAAAGGACAAACCTTTCATCTGTAGGGTCCGCCGGGAGTATCGCTTGCTGGGCCTTCTTTCAAAGGAGGTCGATCTTCTTGCTTTGTTAGTTTTTGTGGTCTGATATTCAGTTTTTCCACTAAAAGAAATGAGGCAAGTCAACAGTAAGACAATCTAAGGCAATCAGGCAGAGGAGTAAGATGTTTGTACTCAGATTATCCCGCAAAGCATCCAAAAGGAAACCACTACCAATAGTTGTAATTTTTCCTCTTTACCAAAAAATTTCTTTTATCATCCAGGTTTTGGTAAAATATGTAACATTAATAATACAAGATTTCTCTTAAGCACATGTATCACCTACAAACATATTAAATCAGGAGAGAATGCCCATGTATTCTCTAATTTCCTATCCACATGAATCAATGTAAAAGTGTAATCCAGAACAAGATTTCCAGTTAATTCTCCTTTTGTGGTCCTACAGATTAAACCTCAGGTCTTATACATGCTTTCAAGCACTCTACCAATGAGCTATGTCCTCAGCCCTAGCTCCAGTTACATTTTCTATTATTTTCACAAAAAAAAAAAATTCCAGAAATGCTTTTAAAAACTACTCTTGTACGTCTCTGGTTTCCAGCTAAGAAGAAAATGCTTAAAGTTACATTTTCTATTATTTTCACAAAAAAAAAAAAATTCCAGAAATGCTTTTAAAAACTACTCGTGCCTTTCTCGCTCCCCGGCCATCTTGGCGGCTGGTCTTGGTTGGGGCCTGTCCCGCACCTAAGGCAGGAAGATGGTGGCCGCAAAGAAGACGAAAAGGTCTCTGGAGTCGACCAACTCTCGGCTCCAGCTTGTTATGAAAAGTGGGAAGTACGTGCTGGGATACAAACAGACTCTGAAGATGATCAGACAGGGCAAAGCGAAATTGGTGATCCTCGCCAACAACTGCCCCGCCTTGAGGAAATCTGAAATAGAATATTATGCCATGTTGGCTAAAACTGGTGTCCATCACTACAGTGGCAATAACATTGAGTTGGGCACAGCATGTGGAAAAGTCTACAGAGTATGCACACTGGCCATCATTGACCCAGGTGATTCTGACATTATTAGAAGCATGCCAGAACAGACTGGTGAAAAGTAAAAAGTTTTCCTTTAATAAAACTTTACCAGAGCTCCTTTTAAAAAAAAAAAAACAAAACTACTCTTGTACGTCTCTGGTTTCCAGCTAAGAAGAAAATGCTTAAGCACTCCTGACATGGGTAGAACAGAAAACATTAAGAACTATGTGCAGGACTTGCTACATCACTGGCATGGCCGTCCCTTCTTTAGTTGATTCCAACAGCACACTGAAGACTCAACTTGACCAGCTACTTGAACATAACAAGAACTGAAATGTTTCAAATTCATGGCAAAGGAGTCAGTGAAAGCAATTGGTTTTCAGGTTTCTAGAGAGCTACAGTATTATTTGTATTACTTCCCCATACAATTTTCTGTATGAATGCAACCTGTCAATGGAGAATCCACCTTGCTAAATAAATGTAAATTGTGGCCTGAATAGTGTATACAAAATGTGTCAATATATAAATCAATAATTGATTTCCCGTCTAGTTAAGAAATTATTAACAGTAACATTACTTCTTTAAAAATTTTGGTCAATAAGTATCTTTGACAACATACTTTATTTCTGTCTTTGTTCCTGTCTCAGTAAAATCAGTGCTGGTTTAACATTTCTGGCCTGTATGCAAGAGAGAGTAATGTCAAAACTTAGGGAAATTAACCTATATCTAAATCGTGATCCTAGTCGAATGAATCCCGATCGATGAGAACTCTTTTGGACAGGTCCTCGGAGACGGAAGAAGGCATGGTGCTCCACTGCACATTTCCATAGGTGTTTGCAGGCCTTTGGATGATCTAGTCTAAAGACAAAGGTATGCTCTTGTTCTTTACCCTAAAAAAGACAAACCGGTGTTTATTAAGTCACATCTTCTATTTCTGCAATACAAATACAACTATACCAATACCAAAAGGCAGCCAAGCATGTGGTGAATGTCTGTAATCCTAGTAACCAGGTAAAACGCCGTAGGCCAGGGCCAGCACTGCATACATAGTGAGCGCCAGGCCAGCTAGACAACAGAGACCTTGTGTCAAAATAAATCAGTGCAGAAAAGTAAATAATAAAGTTGCAGGAGAGATGGTTCAGTGGTTAAGAGCACTGCTCTTTCAGGACATCTGCCTGGTTCTCAGTACCTGCATCAGACAGCTCACTGCGGTCTCTAAATCAAGCTCTAGGCCATCTCATGTCTCCAAGGTCATCTGCACTGACCACCCACCCACACACTACACAAATAATTAAAAATAAAATAAACCTTAAAAAAAAATCTAGTTTGCTATCTGAAACTTTTGGGGGATGGGCGAGTATGGTGCTGGCCACCCAGTCTTGTCATATAGGTGGGAGCTTCAGGTTTAGTAGAGACCCTGTTGCAAAACATTAGGGTGGAAAGTAATCAACACCCAATATTGGGCCACACAAACATGTACACACATGTGCACCTCCACGCACACTTCCATATAGACAGTCACATACAACACTCATGAAAAGTCCAGAGGCCATTAAAAAAAAGTGCTATGATGGGTGTGGTGATGCACACCTTTAGTCCCAGCACTTTGGAGGCAGAGGCAGGCAAATCTCTGAGTTTGACACCAGTCTGGTCTCAGAATGAGTTCGGCGGCGGAGGGGGGGGGGACACCCGGAAGAGGGGGCGCACTCACCCACACACCCACACACCCAAAAACCCAACAAACAAACTTGTATGTGTATTAGCCTGTTTGCCATGGCACACACGTGGAGGTCAGAGGATAACTTGAACTTGTGTGGTATGTGTGTGTGTACTAGCCTGTGTGCCATGGCACACACACAAAGGTCAGAAGATAATGTGTGTGTGTGTGTGTGTGTGTGTGTGTGTGTACTAGCCTGTGTGCTATGGCACACACATGGAGGTCAAAGGATAACTTGAGTTGGTTTTGCCTTCTATCACAAGGGTCCCAAAGATCAAACTCAAGTCATTAGGCCTGCAAACAAGGCTTTTAACCACTGAGCCATCTCATTGGCCCAAACTGTAGGATTTTTGGTAAGAAAGTTTGAAGATCATCAAACTTCAGCAAGATACAAAGGTAGTTCTGTAAATTCCTAGGAACTAAGCAAAATATAAATCTAAAATATCACTGAAAACAAAACAAACTAGAACTCAGAACCTTTGCATCTTCTGTGACTGGACTTTTGTTTTATAAAACACATCTAAGGAAATGTAAACAAGAGGGGGGAACCAAAATCTTCCAAAATTAAAACACCCCACACAACAGACACAGTAGTTTAAAATACTGTCAAAACAAATGAGAAAAAGGGGGGGATGAGGAGGTAATGAGGGGTAAACCTGGTGAAAGCACACTATAAGCAGATAAATTCTCAAATACAAATTTCTTTTTGAAAATTCAAAACAATTACTATAACAAATACTCACTTACTTTATTATAAAGTTTTTTCACATCAACTCCATTTTTCTTGGTTATGTATCATTTTAATTATGAAAACGATGTCATAAGCAAAACTGTCTGTCTATTTGCAGACTTGCCAAGATTATATATTCCCACATTCCCACTAATCCACTATTAAAATAACTTCTCCATGGGACAATCAACTGCACTCAAATTCCCCTGAGAATATGAATGCTTCTCATTCATTCTGTGAAGTAAAAAGCAACATACTATATCAGCAACAAAAATTCCTTTTCTGTTTAATAAATGAACAGGTTTAGTTGTAACAAGAAAAGAATATCAAAGTGTACTGACTGAATAGCAGTGCTTCCCATAAACCCATTTTCTGGTAACGTATCATTTCATTTATCTAACACCACAGAGATGGTTTTATAAAAGTGACCTGTCTAATGCCCATATTAAAAAACTGAAGAAAAAAAAAACAGTGCAGTCATCTAAGGGCCTCGCCTTAACCTACAGTCTTACTCTTATGGCGAGTCACCATATTTAATCAGGTCTATGTATCCTCAAACACTACAGAGGATGGAAGAAGGTTATGTCACAATGCAGCACACTACTTACCTGTCCTCCAACAACTAAAAGAAGTCAAACCTAAAACAGTAAGAGCTTATAAAATATCTGCAAAATTCCAGAAAAGATGACAGAACTTGACTGTTGCCTGCTGCTTATCACACTTTATATAAGCACAACCAAAAAGTCAATTATAAGGGGAATGGGAACATGAAAATATGCCCGAATATGATAAAAGCTAAGAGAAATGCATAAAAATCATTTAAAATGGGACATTGAAATTAAATAAAAAATAAAAGTAACAAAAATATAAAATCACATTTTATTGTAAAAAATACCACCAGGTGGATTTTTTATTTTATTTGTGTCTTTGAGACAAGGTCTCACTGGTCAGCACTATATAGATCAGGGTGGTTTTGAACTTAGAGATCCACCTGTCCCTGCCTCCAAAGTGTTCCAATAAAAGGCAGCTGGCTTGTTCTTTTACCTCTTTTATCAGGAATTAAGGAACAGAGTCACCTAATGTAACCTTTGCACATTTAGATACATTACCAACAAAGAAATAATGAATAAAAAGCTTTTATATTATCTTTAAGACTAATGGCACAAAAATACATTTTTAGGATGGTCTGACCTGAATAAGAAATTTACTTCAAAGTATAAGCAATGCTAAGTTACTGTCCTGAGGTCCATCCCCACTTGTTACCGTATCACAGCACAGTTCCTACCTGATCATCATCCTCCACAACAACCAGAGTTAATTTATTCTTCTTAAAATCCAATCTGGTTATCTTGGGCCTGTAATAATATAAGAGCCATAGCCAGATTAGGGACAATCCTCTTCTATATCAGACATGTCTCCTTGTGTCCGAACACTGATAAGGAGGTTAAGGCAGCCAGCACTGCCCATCAAAGTCTTTTTTTTTTATTATTTTTTTATTTTTTTTATTTTTGAGACAGGGTTTCTCTGTAGTTTTTGGTGCCTGTCCTGGAACTAGCTCTTGTAGACCAGGCTGGCCTCGAACTCACAGAGATCCGCCTACCTCTGCCTCCCAAGTGCTGGGATTAAAGGCGTGCGCCACCACGGCCCGGCCTCCATCAAAGTCTTTAAAGGGAGGCAAACACATACTTCAAAAGCAACCAACTAATAAACTGATGTTGCCCATATAACATTAAAAATATGAAGAAAATGAGAAATATATGCATTCTGTACACCCCTAATGTGGCACACTGAATTCTGTATTCCTAAAGAATTCTGTAAAAACTTAAGAAAATACCTGATTAGGGTCTTCTACTGTATTTTACCAGTAACACGTAAATTTGAATTTGATATGGGTAGGAAGGCTTCAAGCCAACAGCCTTGGCATGTTACAAAAGCAGCAACACGGGCCATCTTAGCTAGTGCCTGTATCACAAGTCTAAATGTTGCAAACACTTTCCCAGTTCAGTGCTCTAGGGCCATGAAATCTGCGCCATCTCAGAGAACAGAAACAAGCTGGGAAGCCGGAGTCCAGCCTGACAGCAGGAGGAAATGGAGAACACTAACAGTGAGAGCCACATGAGAGAAGCACGCTGACATCCTGAGAGCACTGGACAGAGCTGGAGAGCCGACATCTGCACACAGTCAGGGCAGGGCAGCGGGCACAGCGTCACTGCAGCTGCTCAGGGTTCTGTTGCCACACGCTTTTATTAACAATATAAATGCTCTGACCCATTAAAAACAAGAGGACTTCTGATATCCACACTGCTTACCAGAAAAACAAGCCGATTTTGGTTTCTCCTTCAAAAACAAGGACTCCTGTTGGAGTTAGTCCCAAGCTATAGTCGTTCCCATCTCTAGCCTAATTTTAGGAGAGAATATAAAACGTATATTTTCTTGTTTGTACACAAGAAACAGGTTTCAAGTTTTCACACAACTGGTCATTTTTCTCATTAAATATTATATACAGGCTAATATTTATATTCAAGATGTTTTCAATAAATAATAAAATAATCCTCTTCAAGCTACAAAGTATCAACCTTGCTTACTGAACTATTTTATTTTAGCAAAGTCTACTCAATAGTGAGCTTCAGTGATATAAAACAACATCAAATAACAATGATGACGTTAAAAGATAAAGATTTTCTCAGCTTAAAAAAATCAACATCTTACAAGCATCCATATATATTTCTAGAATTTTAGTTTTCTCTTCTTTTATAATGTTTCTTTCTATAGATTTTAGTCTTTTGTTTTGGTTTTTGGAGACAGGGTCTCTCTACATATCCTTGGCTGTCCTGGAACTCACTCTAGACCAGGCTGGCCTCAAACTCACAGAGATCCACCTGTCTCTGCCTTCCAGTGCTGAGATCAAAGTTGTGCACTACCACTCTCAGCTGATTCTAGTCTTTTAATATCTAATTTCAACCATATTTTCTCCTACCTACCACTTATCAAAAAATACTCAGAAGTATTTTATACAAACTCATGCCTTCTACCACACTATAAAATTCACAGTTACATTAAAAACTGCAAAGAAATTAATGTTTAAAAAATGATTTACTTTTATTATTTTAAAATTATGTATCTGGACACACTGAGTACAAGCACCCACAGGGTCAGGAAGGGGGCATCAGATCCTCTGGAGATGGAGTTTCAGGTATTTGTGTGCAGCGCGACACAGGTGCTGGGACCCAGACTCAGAACTTCTACAAGAATACCACGTGCTCATAACTGCTGAGCCATTCCTCTAGCCCCAGGAAGAAATTTTTTAAAAAAAGTACCACACAATAGAGTTTACCTTGACCACATGCATATCAACTCCATACATTTCTAGCCATTTGGCTTTATTCAGATAATTGGTTTCAGCTTGTGCTGGTGTCTGACCTCTGAAATTAAAAATACAGTAATTATAAGACAATAAGCATAAAGTGATTTTAGTGAAAAATAGAAACAAAAGAAATAAATACAAAATAATGACGGTGATGATGTTTAAAAAGTATGATCAAATTATGAGTTACCTGTACTCCTTCCATTTCTCAAAAATAGCCAGCTCCATCTCTTCAGTCTGAATAGGCACAAATCTGAACTCAGAGACAAGTTCAGGACTATGTTCAGCAAGATCATAGTCGCCAAGTTCAGCTACAAATATAAGTTCACAAAGTTATGCTGTGTTAATAATACTAAATACTAAGGAAATCCTAGTGGTGGAACACACCTTTAATCCCAGCACTGGATGATGGGGGCTGCAGACCCATGACCCCTTGACTTTCTTTGACTGCCTCAGACCCTTTGCCTGCTGGACTGAACTGAGCAAAACAACTTGTTTACCTGTGTTTGCAGCTGCTCTGAGCACAAGACCCTCATGAGTTCCTGATGGCAGGGGAGTGAATTCTGGTGGGTTTTACACTGGAAATCCCAAGAGCTGGGACATGGTTATGAGTTAAGGATCCCAATATAAACTTCCCTGGAGCACAATAAAGTTGGTATTCTTGTTTCAAGGATGACCCGTGGCCCCTTGTCTCTGTCTGTGTGTGTATGTTTTTAAATCTCCAGCATAGCTCCCGGTTCACGTATTGTCCCCTACGGCAGGCGCTACAACTGGAGACAGAGCCAGATGGATCTCTGTGAGTTCAAGGCTAGCCTGGTCTACGCAGCAAGTTCCAGGACAGCCTGAGCTACACGAAAAAAATCTGTACAAAAATCCTTTTTAAAATACACATTTTGTAAACAAAGATTAAGAGGATTAGTAAAATTCTTTCTTAAGCCACCAGCCATTTATAAAGATTACACCACTCCCCCAAAGAATCCAGTTTCCATCTGGGACTTGAGCTATACACAAATGTAGTGGTTTCACCGAGAATGGCTCCCATACACTTATAGTTAAATGCTTGGTCCAAAATGAGTTGAAGTTTTGGGGAAGGATTAGGTGGTGGCCTTGTTGAAGGTGTGCTGGTTGGGTTGGGCTTTGAGGTCTAAAACTCCCATGCCATTTCCAGTCATCCTCTCTGTGTCACACTTGTGGATCAGATGCAATCTCACTGCTACTGCTCCAGCGCCATGACTGCCTGCCTGTTCCCAAGCTCCCTGCCATGACAGTCAAGGACTCTAACCCTCTGTAACTCTGAGTGCCAAATTAAATGCTTCCTTTATAAGTTGCCTTGATAATGATGTTTTGTCATGATAATAGAGAAGACAACATAAATCACAATTGTTGGTGTATTTTTAATTATATCTTTCTCCTAATTTATTCATATACTAATGCTTAGCTTTTGAAAATAAATTTCTGTATTTCCACAGAGAAAAAAACATCTTTGACCTTGTAATTCTTAAGACAATTTAGCTGTTATCTATAAAAAACTATTCAAGATGCACAGTATATAGCAGCATATTGTAAGATACAATACTTGTCTGGAATGTAAAAGTACTGTTTTTTCTTTGAGACAGGGTTTCTCTGTAGCTTTGGAGCCTATCCTGAAACTAGCTATTGTACAGCAGGCTGGCCTCGAACTCACAGAGATCCACCTGCCTCTGCCTTCCGAGTGCTGGAATTAAAGGCATGTGCCACTACTGCTCAGCTTAAATTTTTTTAATATTTATTTATTTTTATTTTATGTGCATTGTTGTTTTCCCTGTATGTATGTCTGTGTGAGTGTGTCAGATCTTGGAGTTACAGACAGCTGTGAACTGCCATGTGGGTGCTAGGAGTCAAACCCATGTCCTCTGGAAGAGCAATTAGTGCTCTTAACCACTGAATCATCTCTGATGTTATTCTTTACTCCTCAGACATGCATCACACAAAAGAATTATGCTCCCGTCTTATTCAGCATAGGAACCACTTACCTTGCAGATTATAAGCGGCCAACTGAACGGCTGTGTCAAAGGGACACTCTAATCTGAGATCAAAATACAAATTGGCTAAGTCAATTTCATAATCTTTAAGATAAATAACATTAATATATATTACATTTTGAGCATTTCCTTTACACAACCCTGAACTTATTTGTGTACACATATGTAAGTGCACTTGCCTACCTGTGAACATGAGGAGGCGTGAGGGCCATGTCGACACTCTTCCTCTGTTCCTTTCTTCCCCTTACTATTTTGGCTACAGTGACTAGCCAGTGAGCCCCAGTGCCCCTGGGTTTTACATGGGTACTGGGGGTGCAAATTCAGGTTCTTTACTTGCTGAGCCATTATTTTGCCAGCCCTGGGCTGAACTTATTTTCTAACTTATGTTTCTACTACTCAAGAATTTTGCAGTTACGTACTAAATAATTTAATACTCACTTCCCACTGAGAATATCTTGTTTTAATTGCAGAACAAATAAATACCTAAGGAAAATAAAAAAACAAAATAACCAAACAGAACAATCTACTATGGAAAAAAAATACTATCATTTTAACTTGAGAACACCCTTTTCTTTTTTTGAGACAGGATTTCACCCATGCAGCCTGGATGGCCAGAACTCAGAGATCCACATGCCTCTGCCTGCCAAGTGCTAGGATTAAAGGTGTGCACAACCACACTCTGAGAGAACTTTTTAATTATAGAATTTTACCACAAGATAATTGTAAGGGAAAAACAATGAATGAAAAAGGGTGCTGAGGAGGAAGACAGCACACCTGAAGGTAAGAGAAGAGGGGCAGCCAGAGCACAGCGGAGCAGAGGTGTCAGGATAACAGCAGCGATCCGCCCAATACTCTAACAACTCACCCCTTGTTACTTAGCGAGGACTGTGTAGAGAAGCAATGAGTTTGCGGTAAAAGAAAGAAATGGATACAACCTGACGCTTTATCCAGAATTACTCATATCAGGATCTAATATCGTTATTAATTGATGGTATTTATTAAGTAAAGAAGTCAGGAACCAACCTATGTGAAGGTGGTAACAAAAGTCAGATCACAGTGAATGTCAGTAAGATTGTAATTTACCAAAACATCATCAGTTCTGTTTAAAATCCATGAACCAAGCTGGGCGATGGTGGTGCACGCCTTTAACCCCAGCAACTTGGGAGGCAGAGGCAGGCGGACTGCTGTGAGTTTGAGACCAGCCTGGTCTACAAGAGCCAGGTTCAGGACAGGCTCCCAAACTACAGAGAAACCCTGTCTTGAAAAATAAAAAAAACAAAAAAAAAACAAGAACTGCTCTCCAGTCACCTTTCTGGGTGCATAAAAGCCAACTCTCTTTGTTTTGAACAACAAATAAGAATCATATACTTTTATTTTAATATTTTAAGACAAAGTCTTACATTGTAGATTAGGCTAGCCTGAAAGTCACTATAGAGCCCAGGCTGGTCTTGAATTCAGTAATCCTCCTGTCTTAGTTTCCTGAGTGCTGAGATTTCAGGCATGAGCTATTTTACTTGACTTGACTAGAATCTGACATTTTAATCTTGTTCGAAAATAAAAACTCACCTGAGACCTTATTGCTAGGCTGAGAAATCCTAGGAATGCCCTTCTGAAAGTTGTAACCCCTGACATAACCCTTAGTAGTGGCCTTACCGGGTTAGCTCCTCACGAAGATTGTTTGGTTCCGAGGAATAAAACTTAACTCGAAGATGAAGACAATAAGGTGAACCAACTGCCATTAAAAAGGAAAAGAGCTTTAATTGTTATTGACTTACTAACAATTTTCACCGGTGAACTGGCTGACAATTACCACCGTATAAAGGAAAAGAACAGATCTTTGTAGTGTTATTCCACAGCAAAGCCAGGCAGGAATCCGACACAGGCGTTTTAGAGTGTGCCGACCAGAGCACGGCATTATCACATCCACCTGTCAGCCCAGGACAGCTCAGGGTCATTCACTCCAGCTCAGGGTCAAGTGCATAATCTTAATGGTACAATCAAACAGCGCGGAAAACCTGCTGAGCTACACTTTTAGTGAAGGCCGAGGAATGCCAACGTTAGTAACTGCAGGGCCAAGCATCCGGCACAAACTCAGCCCAGTGCGCACACTGACTGTTGAGTTCTCATCAGTCCTGTCCCAGTACTTTATAAAGACAAGAGTTAAGCTGCCCTGAAATCTGACACTGGGGACCAGACACTAGTATTTCTAATATTATTAACTATTATTATAGTTAATAATAATCTATTTCATGTGAATTACTTCATTTCATTATCTTGTCTTACTTTTAATTATGTGTATGGGGGTGTTATGTGCATGTGTGAATGCAGGTGCCCACAGAGTCCAGAAGAAAGTGTCAGATTCCATGGAGTTGGAGCTACAAGCAGTTGTGAGCCACCAATACAGATGCTGGGAACTGAAAGAGGGTCCCCTGCAAGACCAGCATGTGTGCCCAATCTGAGCCACCTCTCTAGCACTGCGTCATTATTCTTCTGAAAGAACAGAGGTAAGGAAGGGCTGGAGAGCCGGCTCACTGGTTAAGAGCAGTTGTTGCTCTTGAAAAGGACCTGACTTTGATTCCCAGCACCGATATGGTTCACAATTGTCTGTAATTCCAGTTCCTAGGGATTCAATGCCCTTTTCTGACCCATGATGGCACTAGACACACACGGTTCACATGTGCATGTGATCGGCTATGTCAGCTGACTGCACAAAGGGGACAGAGTACATCTACCATGTATTTCTCAGCCTAGGCCACTGTGCATAGCCTGTATCATGAATTTCTGGAAAGACGAAGAAAAAAAACTATTACAGCTTTAAGGTCTCAAAACGTTTTCTAGAGGCAGGTAGAGCCTCCCAAAACAAAAACAGACAAACAAAAACAGAGGGGGAAGCCCAACAAAATAGCAACACAAGTAATTACCTAAAGAGAAGTTAAATATTTCATAAGAACTCAAGCCAGTTTGTAAGCTGCAAATATTTCTCCTATAAGCTCAAGTTACAAGACTCTTGAGTCTAGATTAATGTTCAACCTAGACTACTGGGCACTGAATCGGTACATTACAATGACACAAAGTTTAGAAGGCCGCCACACTAGCCAGGCACATTAGAACACACCAAAATTCCTAGCACCGAGGAGGCCAGGAAAGTTTTCGCGCTTGAGACCAATCAAAGCTGTATCTTGAGACTTGAGTGACATAAACCCCAGCCCACCCTACAAAGGCAGATGGCAAAGAAACTCGTAGGAAATATGATTTTCTAATGTTCTTACTATTAAAAAGGTGTTTCTGATATGTTTTATTTGCACAATTTCACAAATAATTTCTCAACACTTACTTTTTACTTGCTTTTTGATGCTTTTTGTACCATCCAACCAATGCTGCAAATGGAAAAATAAAATTGAGTACTTAAGCAAATGGTAGATCTTTAATGTCTAACAAGTTACTGCTTATTACAGCTTTGGGGACAACCACTACGCAGTATTTCACACAGGGAAAACCAGAGGGACAGACTGAATTCTCTTTTTCAAGGTGGCTCTCAGGGCTTAAATCATATACTTAATTTCCCCAGTTCCCAAACAAATGGCTCTCTTGAAACAGTTCAGTTAGAGAGAAGAGGGCTGCAGCTAGAGATGGCTACAGAGCGCGCACCAGTACCGCTATAAATAAGTACATAAACAACACTTTGGGAGAAAAATTCCATTCCTTTATAAGATTCAATGGCAGACCCTAACACAGAGAAGAGAAAATGTTACCAGTGACTATTTAGTACTCACTGAAAGGGCCTGAAGAGTTTAAAAAGCAAGATTTTCCCCCAAATCATGACAATGTCTATCAACAAGTAGTCACTGTCCTTCCAACTTACAAATAAAAATACTTACACTTGACAAGCAGTTCTGCTTTCAACAGTAACAGCCTTTTTTAAAAAATTCTGTTTTATTGTATGCTACAGCCAGTATATGAACTAGTAAAATCTTGTGAAACAGAAATCAATGAAAATTCAGAGAGGCAGATGTTCAGGGCTGACAAGCAGAGGTTGTATATTATGGCACGTGTTATGTAGAAGCTTTTGTACAGACTTTTTAGTTCTCTTGAAAATATTCACTGGTTCACAAGAAGTGGTTTGAGAATCCTCAAGATATATGACTTCAAAAAAAGGGCAGACTTTCTGGGGTCTGAAAGAATTTGTACTTGAAGATACTCCAGTGAGCACGGGCCATGCTGATCACTCTGAAACGTGGACTGTTTCTAGTCTGCAGCTGCCTGGGAAACCTTCACACGGTTGAGCCCCAGTTGCTGAACTACCTTCTTCAGGGTGGCGATGCTAGAAGAACCTGGGAAATGCTCACAACACAAACAAACCTGAAATGACTCCTGATGTTTCCAGTCACAAAGCAGTCCCAGCTCATTACAAAGCCCGTATTTCAGGCCCTCACAGCGACAGGCCGCATTGGTCCAGCTACAATTCACACAGGTGAGCTCACTTCAGCACACTTTCAACTCCAAAAACCAAAAGAAGGGGGTGCTGCTATGTTAGTCCACAGAGCCATGGACGCAGTTTCAACAACCCTGCTAGGCAAGAATGCGGAAGGCTGCACTGCCACTGGTGCTGTTTGCTCTCCTCACCTATTATTTGCCAAGCCTCTTCTTTCCTTTCTTCTTCAGACAGAGCTCTTACTGTGCCAGCAGGGTGCCCTTCTACCCTTGAATAAGATGTTCTGTAAACACATCAGGCAGACTCTGCAAAGCTTTCTGTCTTAGTCTGGCAGTGGGGGAGACTGAATCCAGGGCCTCAAGTATGCTAGACAAGAGTCCTGCAGCTGAGTCACAATCCCAGTCCCACCTAAGCTTCCTCTGGATTTCAAGCTGGGTAGGCTACTTGGCCAACTCATTTAATACATTGTGGGCCCGCCCCTTTTAAATAGAGTTCAGAAGGCAAATGTTCAGTTGTACAAATCCTACTAGTAGGCAGAAAACAGATTTATTAGGAATGACTTCAACATGGGCCAACAAAGAATGCTTTAATCTTGGCCTAGAAAGTTCAAATATGAACTTCAAATATGAAGTGGCCTAATGTTATGACATTCCTACAAGCAATTCCATAAGAAAAGTATAAGATAACCATCCAATAATGAACTGACTAAAACATTTGAAGGTGACAAACGCATAATGAAGCAATTAAAAATGAAAGCAAATATTTAAAGATCTGAAATGGATACGGCTATTTTGGGGGAATGTGGGGGGTGGTTGAGACAGGGTCCCTCTCTATAGCCCTAGCTGTCCTGGAGTTCTGTAGACCAGGATGGCCTTGAATTTCTGCCTCTTCCTTCTGAGTGCTGAAATTAAAGATAGGTGCCACCATGTCTGGCCATATTGCTATATGTTAAAGGATTCACTGTGAAGTATTATAAATTGTTTCATCAAAATGTACAAATAGGTGTATACACACACATACACAATGTATATTCTTTTAGACTGAGATAACAATTAATAATAAAATAGTAACTGACATTACTGGTGAGGTGCTGGAGAGATGCTCAGCGGTTAAAAGCACTGGCAGCTGCTTTTCCAGAGGACCTGGGTTCAATTCCCAACACCCACAAAGCAGCTCACAACCATATGGCACACCAGTTCTAGAGGATAGGATGACTTCTGGTCTTTATGGGTACTGTAACATGAGGTGCGCAGACATCCATACAGTCAAAACACTCATATACAGAAAAGAAAAAAAATAAAACTGTAAAACATATTTAAAAGAAGATTGTAAGTGTTACAAACACAATTTGATGCTAAGAATAATAGCTCCTTAATTATAACATTTGATATAGATAATCATATGGACTTAGGGAGTAATAGTAAAACAACAGGGGCTAGAGTAATGATATGCCAGGTTATAAGCACACGCTTCTTGTTCAGAGAACCTGAGTTCAGTTCCCAGCATCCATGCCAGGCAGCTCACCTGTTACCTACAGCCCCCAGGGGATCCAGTGCCCTCTTCTGGCCTCCAAGGGTACTTGCATCTTACCCCACAAATACATGAAAAAAAATTATAAAGGCATCAGTCTCTCCACCTCCAAGATCTATCCCCTATAAATGGTACGCATTCCCTCAAGATGTGAACAGTTGCTCCTGATTCTGTCTCAGCTTCCTTCAAACTAGAAGAATTCCTCTTTGATGTTCTTGTATTTGAAGGACACTGAAAAATCAACAGGCCAATTATAACTATCCTGTTCTCCTGCTCTGTGACAGGATCTCACTATGTAGCCCTGGCTGGTCTGAAACTTGCTGTGTAGACTAGGCTGGTCTACATCTCAGAGATTCTCTTGCCACTGTCTCCTGAGTGCTGGGATTAATGGTGTGCTCCATCACTCTTGCCAATTAATTATATTATTATTCAGGAAAATTAAGAAGGAAAAGGAGGATTTACTAAAATCATACCCAGTAGTTGAGAAATCTCTTCCTAGTTGGATCTATTCAGGACCATTAAGATGGCTCAGCAGGAAAGGGCACTCGCCACAAAATCTGATAACTTCCACAGTGGAAGAGAGAAGAAACTCCCCCAAGTTGTCCTTGAGTTCCACATGCATATCACATGTAGGCACACACATAAACAAAAATAATAAAGTGTAAAACAAACAAAACTCCAAAGACAATTCTCATGAATATACTTTTCCACTCTTACCCATGTCCTACCATTAAACACAAAATTATCCCAGCAGAGAAGGTGCTGGAGCATACACCAAGCAGAAATCCCAGTCTTCTCTACTGATTCTTGTGTCTCCACGCCAGTAAGATAACCAAACAAACATATTCTAAAGTGCGATGTAGGAGCTGGGGGAGTCCTGAGTCACTGCTCTTATGAGGAAGGTCTGAGTTCATGTTTGTGGATTCTCAAGTCTGTTTTCTTTCATCTCCTCCACATTCCAAGAGCGGTGACTGGAAA